GGCGTGGATGGGTGGCGGCGTACAACAGGCTTAAGAAGCCGCACAGCGTAATGAGGTAACTAATTCACACTCGACTCTTATTGGCGACAGAGCCTCGAGGGGTTCTTTTACCGCTCCAATAACAAGGGGAATTTTTAAATTGCGACCTAGAGTGTAACCTTCAACTTGAGGCTGCCCCGGCCCTACCCCCTCCCCGCCCTTGCATTCGTTCAGTTAAGATTGAGAAGCCTTCAATCAATGAAATATTTGATGACATCAAGTTCTGAACGAATATTCAAGTTCGTGGTTTGTCTACGTGGAACTCTACTGCCCGGGCAGTTCGCAGCATCGTAATTCAATAATCTCAATGTTTAGGTTAACACCGCCAAAATGTTTTTGGGTAATGCCTAATAATAATAAAATCTAAAGAACGGTTCACTACCGTAGAATTTCAGCATTTTAATAAAATTCCGTGTCCATTGTTACAGAATTCAAATCAAGTATCACCGTCAAAGAAAATACATTTTCCAAATCCTGTCAGAGAGTACAAAGCAGACTCCACGATCCTGGAAGAGCGTCGAATGTGCAATGACTCCCTGGACTCTAATCGTAGAGACGGCAGTGAAGGGAGGGTGAGTCTGAATAACTCCAATCAGGAAAAAAAGAAAAATCTTTCGCTCGAGCGAGCATCGGAGACTTTCCAAAATGAGATTTCGTAGAGACGTCTTTCTTGCTTTCTGCACTTCGAGGAGTGCTGACGTCTAGCTCTTATCTCTCAGAACCGCCCAAAGCCTTATTCGAAGTCAGAGGTATCTATCAAATAGAAACTGTTGGAAGCAAGTGGAGAAGCAAATGACTTATCGTGCGTTCGCACTCGAGGGGCAGAAACCCACCTACCCGGACAGGTGGCGTGACTCCAAGTGCTCGTAAGTGTCAGACATCATTTATTTTGATTTATTTCACTTCAAAAACCTTAAAAACTGCGTGACGTCCTATGGGAAGAAGTTCAATCTACAAACTGGCTTGTAAGCAATTTTAGAAGGGTATGGAGTTTGCGGATGAGACATTCTAATCATAACAGTTTATATTGTCCTTGTTTTTGAAGTGAGAATTGTCAGTCCCGTTATTTAAGTATGCTCAAATTGCTCTTGTCTCCACGAAATGTTATTTTGTGTATTTAAAAGTGCTTTTTCAAACAAACTCAATATGGCTTAAGAAAATTTGAGAAAATTTTTCACTGACACGAAAGCAATAAAAACAGGAAAGAGTAAATTGCAAATATTCGTGCAAAAATTTTAAAATGCACATTTCAATAATTTTACTTGTAATCGTGCGTACATATGTTGGGACTTTATAGAGCACGAAACTCTTATTTTCACAAAAAATAACTCTTGGGAGAGTATGAGCCTCCAAATACGTACATCTGGACGTGGTATATGAGCTTTCTGTTAAAACCTATCCTACCATACCATACCATTCCATACCAACAGATACTTTTTCCTTCCGAAAGTAACCACTTTCACTAAGTCTACGAACTACTATCAACTGGTATGGTAATTTGATATTTCATTGTCACAAGTGACCAGATACGTTTGAATTTGGAATATCTCTTAAAATGTTTGTATTTGCCAAAGTATGAAAACATTATTAACCAAATGAATATTTGTTTGTAATACTTGAATAACTCATTCGTTTTACTGTGTATTCTCATGAATTATGCTGGAAATGTGGTAGCTCCAGAATATGTTGCATAAATTTTGTATTACTATGCTACCATTAAGTAAACTTGAATTTGCTGTTAAACCTCATTGCAGTATATCACGTCCATCCCAGATTACGCTTACAATCAATAGTTGACTGAAAATGAACAGGGGAATATTGCGCGCTTATCGCCGTTTACTTTCATGGAGGCCACCAACACTATCGACAGCAAGCACCACGACAAATTTCTGAATAATTTCCACTGCGCGCAGAAATTCATGGCAAACTATGCAGCCGCCTGCTATGAGTGAGGTGTCTAATTTGGGAAGGTATGACTGTATCAGTATGGGTAGGTTTTCAGTCATACCTTCCCATTCTAATCATATTCACAATCATAAATTTGCTGTTTTCCACTCCTGGATCAACTAATTCATTGATTCATTTTACCATTCTTTTGTGACCCCAATTTATTACTTTTAAAATCCTTCACCTAGTCAACAAAGGCCAAAAATGCACATTTTGGGAGATTGAAAATTTAAACTCAAAAACCCCTAATTTTTTGGTCTTGATGAACATTCTGATTAAAAGCAGTCCCATTCTATATTTTATTAACTATCCCCTAATTATCTTTTGAGTTGTCTTTTTATGACTACACTTTTTTCCTCGTCTCCCCACTCCCTTTCCCGTTCATTGTTGGCTCTTTTCCCATTGAAAAGTGGTGCATTAGCTGAACTCAGTTTGCTTTGACGTGAAATCATAGGGAAGATCCACGTTGCTTGCAGAATTATTTTCTTTTTGTATTTAGATGATTTAATATGTTGTTGTTTTTTTCACTAATTCACTGACCCCCCCCCCCGTTTGTGTTTAACATATGTTTGTTTGCATTTCTCCATTTTGCTTAGAGATCCACATGAGGAT